GAATGGCAGTCAGAAGAAGAACTGTAAACATTTTGTAAGATTTCTCAGTCCTTTGTAACTTCCTCACGTTTGAGGTCATTTCTGTGTTCGGCTGTCCGTATGTCTGTAAGGATTAGCTAACACATAACAAGGAATGGTTCCACAGTGGTGACAAAGGGCATGGCCAGCTAACAAGAAGTGGGGTGGTAGAATCCTAAGACCCTTAGTGGGTTCAAGGGTTCATGAGAAAGGGTGAGAAGGTTGAGTCCCTGGGGCCTAGGAAGGAAGAAATAATACACAATTTCTTAATTTACTAATTCTTTAAATAAACCTTGTACATCTGCTGCTTACCTGATGGGATTGTAGGCATTAGGATATAGACAGGAAAAAAGGCACAAATTCTAACCTCGTGCATTGGTGGACCTCCCAGCCTAAGAGGCAGACCTCTGAAGAAGTCAGTGTCAAAGTGCTAATAACGAGTTCTAAGCTTTAAAAGTTGACATCTAATTTTAAAAAACCACACAGGCTATATATAACTCAATGTATAGAATGTTGAATTGCTATTTGTACACCTGAAACTAATACAACACTGTATGTTAAGTGTATTAGAAATAAAATAATTTTTAAAAAAGCCACACAGGCTAAATAAAACTTACCTACTGGCCTGTCTCTATCCATAAGGGCAGATAATCTTTTAATGTTCAGCTATCTGTCTTTCCTGAGATGTGCCTCTCTTAGGGGGATAATTCAGTTCCAATGTTAGGTATTAAGAATCAACTTTTTGGAAGAAGAGGGATCTTTCAAGGATCTCTATAATCAGTGACTCTATGGGTAGTGGCTGGGCCAGTAGCATCAGCATCACCTGGGAAGTATAGACAGGCATATTCTCAGGCCCTGTCAGCACCTTTGGGAATGGGCCTAGCAATCTGTGTTTTAGCAAATCCTCCAGGTGACTGTGATAAATGCTAGAGTAAGAAAACCACTGCCTCTTGTCATACTGCAAAGGTGCACAGAACTTAAAAACAGGTCCTAATAATAGATTTCTACTGAAATTTAAGGCTATGCAGAGTTCAGTGTCACTGGCAGTAAATGGGGAGTTCTTTCAACTGATAAGGGATATTCACTAAAAATCCCCATCAAGTATTGTTAGGGGTGAAACTTTAGAAGAATTCCTACTGAAGTCAAGAAGGGTAGGGACCCCTGGGGGGCTCAGTTAGTTGAGCGACTCTTGATTTCAGCTCAGGACATGATCTCATGATTGATGGGCTCCAGCCCTGCATCTGGCTCCATGCTGATCATGTGGAGCCTGCTTGGGATTCTCTGTCTCGCTCCTCTGGTTGCACTCTATTAAAATAAATACACAAACTTAAAAAATCTTATAAAAAATAATATAGGATATCCATTATCACTGTTTTAAAGAACATTATATTAAAGCATGTAATCAATGCGACAAGACAATGAAATGATTATAAAAGAACAAAGTGTCATATTGTTGAGAAGATACAAATATCTACTTCTAATATACAAGAGGATTTACATTCACATATATGTTTATTTTTGACGGAGAGGGACAGAGCATGAGTGGGGAGCAGCCACTGTGTGGGAAGAGCCATAGAGCCCAACGCGGGTCTCCAGCTCACAGACCGTGAGATAATAACCTGAACCAACGCTGGACACTTAGCCCACTGAGCCATTACATTCATATATTTAAAACAGACCGGAAAGAGTCCTGTACATCATTAATAAACATTTATAAGATAGAATTTTCAGTTAAAAAAACCCAACCCATAGAGGCAACAAAATCTATAAAGTGCTACAGTAAATGTAATGTGTATTGGGCAAGATGCGCACCACAGATTAACAGTAAGATTGACTGAGGAAAATTTTATAGGCAGAAGGGTCAGCAGCATGGAGAGGTTCCACTGACCTCTGGACTTCCCATAAAATGAATTGCTGGTTCAGCAGCAGTGGGATGCACCATGGAAAGTGCTTCTAAAGAACACTGTCCCTGTAACATTATACATGTTCATGGAAAAGTGAGGAGGGGCTGGTGAATACCCTGGTCATCTAGTTATCAATGCTTTTTTTTTTTTACTGTTTTATTTATTTCTGAGAGAGAGAGAGAGAGAACATGAGCAGAGGAGGATCAGAAAGAGAAGGAAACACAGAATCCAAAGCAGTTTCCAGGCTCTGAGCTAGCTGTCAGCACAGAGCCTGACACGGGGCTCGAACCCACGAACCATGAGATCATGACCTGAGCCGAAGTCAGAAGCTTAACCAAATGAGCCACCCAGGTGCCCCAACAATGATTGCTTCTTAGCTAGGTAAATGACCTTGTTGGACCAGAGCTTAGCCAGTGAGTTCACATTCCAATGATGCAGGTAACAAAAGCCTCCCTTACTCAGCAATTTGCTAAACTACTAAAAAGTGTAGGGAATGAGCTTTCTGGGGTACCCAGGTATGCCTTTCCTTAAAATCTAGCCTTATGGCAGTATAACATAGCAGTTAAAAATGCAGACTCCATAGCCAGACTATTTGATGAATCTGAGCCCCTATGTGCCTCAGTTACCCCATCTGTAAAATGGAGATTATAATCACACCTACTTCCTTTAGACTGTTCAAGGGATTGGATGGACACATCTAACATGCTGAGAGCTGTGCCTGGCAAGTACTAAGCCCTAAATAAATTTTATTTCCTATTATTGGTAATAGTTACACAATCTTGCTGAGATGATTTTAAAAAGTATAAACCCCCAAAATTAAGAAAGAAGGGGGGAGGTGTCTGGGTGGCTCTGTTGGTTGAGCGTTTGACTTCGGTTCTGGTCCTGATCTCCCAGGTAGTGAGTTCAAGCCCCACATTGGGCTCTCTGTTGTCAGCAGACAGCCAGCTTTGTATCCTCTGTTCCCTTTTCTGTGTCTCTCAAAAATAAATAAACATTAAAAAAAGAAAGAAAGAAAGCAGGAGGAGGCCATCAGCACATAGAATATTTTAACACATTTTTGGAAGGTGGAAACTCCAATGTAATAGTAGTAACCAAGGAATAGGCCAAAGCAAACCACAGCCTGAATATACCCATAACCTGTGGGAGAGGAGGTTCCCTGCAGAGAACACTGGGGACCCAGAATGCCAGGGGAGAAGGCCAGGAATGACAGGAAGAACTGAATCTCGAGGGACTAATTTAAAGGCCAGCTCTCTCTACCACACCATTAGGTTATTTGTAGACAGGTGTTAACCCTGAGGCAAAAAAAATTAGATTCTTCTGAAAAAAACTGTTTCAATGGACCTTGAGGAGTTAATGTGGGTACTGGCACCCTCACACAAAGAATCCTTCCAGGAATGACCTTTTGATGCTCACAGAGCATCCCAGATGAGCTTTCAGCTGCTAGCTCTGTCTCTCCAGGTAACTTGAAATCATTTTCTGAAGTGTTTCTCTGACATCTAAGGCTGGCTTGGCAGGGGTAAATCTTGTTTTCCCAGTCTGTTCTCCATAAAGTAAAGGGCTTAGGTTCAAATTACACTCATGTGACTTAATTAGATTTTTTAACCCTAACTTTGACCAGTCAGCTTTTCATTTGCCTAATTCTTAAATGTGAAACTGAAGACCAGTATGCATTTGAGGAAAGCAGATGATGTGAAAAATGGACACCAAGATAAATGGTAATAGCCTTCAAGGGAACAGATAATCCAGAAGACAGATGAACTTAAACATCGGTATTTATACAGTTAATTTATAGAGCGGGACCCACAAAATGGAGATGACCCCAGTGGCCCAGACCATGTGACAGATCTAAACCTGTCGGGGGCGGGACTCAGTTGGTTGAGCATCCCTCTTTAGCTGAGTTTGTGAGTTTGAGCCCCAAGTTAGGCTTGGTGTTGTCAGCACAGAGCCTACTTTGGATCATTTGTCTGCACCTCTCTCTGCTCCCCCAACCCTCATGCTCTGTCTCAAAAATAAAAAAATCAACATTAAAAAAAAACCCCGAAACCTAAGTCAGTCTGCACTTAAGGGAAACACCTGTCAAGGAATGCTAGCTATACACAATCCTTCAACTCAGCTTTAGCTACTTTAGCTCACTCTAGAAATTAGAGCCTGCCAGCCTTATAAGGAAAGTGTCGACCATCTAGCCAATCATATCATTTCCATGTTAACTCTTCTGTATAAAGCTGGCACCAGCACAAGTTCCCTTGGGAACAGCTCGCTGCTGCTCGTGAGGTTCTGTTGTCCCCCATCCATGGATTATTTTCCCTTGAATAAAAGACATCAGACTTGCTATTAGGTTGTTTTAGTCTTGTCATTTGATAGTATCACAAAAGAGATTCAAAAAGATTGCATTGGTTAAAAAGGTTCGATGTGAAAACGAGGAACAGTCCCCACGAGAAAGAGCTGTGGGGAAATAGAAGTAAGATTGCTGATAGTAAGGATTACTGCGGGAGAATTGGAAAACCGCAGGAGAGGAAATTTGCAGAAAGTAGAGCAAACTAGTAAGAGAATGTTGGCGGGGGGTGGGGGGCAGGGGGCAGAAGTGAAGACTTAGATTCCCATCTGAATAATGGGGATGCCAGGCAGAGTGAAAAGAGAAACACAGTAGGATGTTATCAAGTTAGAGAAGATAATTGCCCAGGGTTGACGGGAAACCCACCTCTTCAGAAAGAAAAAGCCCACTGGGTGCCCTGCGCGATGAATGTAAAAACACCTACACCTAGACATAATCCTAAGAATTTTTATAACTCCAAAGACAGAAAATCCTCAAAGATACCAGAAAGGTAGAAATGGCCATCATCCAAGAAAGAAGACTTATACTAGCATCATAACCTTTCATTAATTGTAAACTATTTAGAATAAAATACTTTCTGCTGTGGGACGTGGTAGGTTTTTTTTTTTTTTTTATTCCTTATGAGTCCTGCCCTAATGGCTGTTGACTCAAAACCTTAGATCATTTACTGGTAACTTCCAGGAACCTGCGCAATTTGAGTTTTGGTTCCTCAAATATTTTCTCAGTGCTTCCCCTTAAAGGGCTAGCACAGAGCATCAGCCACACATTCTCCTTACATCTGAGTGGATCTACGGACGAACCTCTCGGTAAGTAAACGACCTCCTCGGACGGAGGTGCTTTGCTTCCACACCTAGCCTCGCAGTCCCCATGTTTTTCTTATTCCTGTTTCTCTCTTGGGAGGCCAGAGGACAGGCAGTAGAGTCACACAGATGGGTTTGAAGCCTAGCTGCGTGACACAGGTCCCTCCCTGGCTCTCTTAACTCTTGTTGTCAGAGAACAGGACAGCCGGAGAGGGCTTTGGAGGTCTCTTCTGCCCAAAAACAGCCTGGAGACTAGCAAAACCGACCAGTGAACCTTGTTGTCTACATATAGGACACCTGGGGACCAGCTGGTCTGGTACAATCCCTTGTACTTCTGTACCCCCAGAGAGACCGGGATCCGAGGTGCTGCAGGTTGGCCAAACCTGAACGAAATGTCCAAACTGGTAATGAATGTAGTCAGTCGTGTGCTAGGGTCTGAGGCAGGCGGTGGGGGAGACTGCGTCAGCTTGTTTCTGGATTTGAGACTGGTCATGCAGCCTAGTTTTGTTCATGGGACCAGAACCAGTCTAAGACTCCTCAGATAAGATCATGGTTTCTTTAAGAGCTATCTAGGTGGTTCATTACCTAAAATTAAGAATGTCCTGTGCAAGAGAGAAAAGTCCCTAGGAACTGACCCTAGAGTCTGAGACCTCTCTCATGTAGACCTGTTTTTAAGTTTTATTTATTTACTTTTTAATATTTATTTTTGGGGAGAGCACAAGTGAGGGAGGGGCGGAGAGAGGGAGACAGAGGATCTAAAGCAGGCTTTGTGCTGACAGGCTGAAAGCAGCGAGCCGGACATGGGGCTCGTACTCAGGAACCCTGAGACCATGACCTGAGCCGAAATCAGACGTTTAACCGACTGAGCCTCCTGGGGGCCCCATTAATTTTTATTTTTGTATCTTATCTTTCACTGTTGTGAAAGCCTTATATAAGAATACTGTGTAGGGTCTTGTGAGTTTTTTCAGTTAGCCAACCCTGTGTGATTGCTGGAGATGGCACTGTGATTAGAATAATTGAAACAGTTGTTCCTCTTTTAAATTTAAATGATGGCTAAGGAATTGGGAGTGGGAAAAAAGGATGGAAAGTGGGAGAGAGATTTCCAGCCACAGATGTCAGACTGGCTGCTGAGGCATCACTGGCTTGATTTCAAGTATGATAACTATTGCTGGGAGGAAAAGCACAGCAGCGGGTGGCGGGTGGTAGATCCTGAACCAGAGGAGAGAGCTCAACTATGAACACAAACTCAGAGAGGAAGTCCTCCGAGAAAACTGTTCCTTGGCTGGTTTTGGCTGCTTTGGCAAAAAGGAAAGTAAGAACCGTAGGCTGCTGAGTCCACCAACCTTCGATCTGTTCATTCTGTGAAAGAATATGATGCCAAAGGAGACCTGGAGAGGTATTTCGTTTGGTCGTAATGTGACTCTCTTCTGCTAGCCACCAAAGAGACTGCACAGGGCAAGAGACCACTGAAACAAAGGGGCGATTGCGTCGAAACCTCGGTAATCTTCTGGTCTGATAGGCCTTCCTGGATAACCTCCGTGGAGACAGATTTCACGCATTAACGACAAAGGAGCTCAGCCTTGAACTGGGTCCTGCCAAATGAAGGACATGCTTGCTCCTAATCAAGATCTTCAGTTAGCTGCAGCTTTTTCAGAAATGTGGGTAGATTGGCAAGTTCTTGATTAGCTGCATCGGATAAAGGTGGGAGTGGGTGGGAAGTGAATAAACCCATCTTGGAGAGCAGACCCACCTGACTTCATGTGTAGGCATTAATAGAAGCCCCCTGGGGTTCCTAAAGTGTGGAGAATGCAAGCAGGCATGTTGGGGCTTGTTATATGATGGTGCTTATGGTAGCCCCTGTTGGTGCCTTTGACCTAAGTGGTGACTGGCTCGCATCTGCTCAGACTCTGCCAGTGGGCCTGGTGACGGTGGTGAGGATGTCACACCCCTTCTAGCATATTTGTTCCGAATTGAGTTGCAAGGTAAACATAAGGTTAATATTGCTTGGAAGAAGGGCAACAGCAAGTATAAAATGGGCAGAAGGGGGGCGCCTGGGTGGCTTAGTCGGTTAAGTGTCTGACTTTCGCTTAGGTCATGATCTCGCGGTTCGTGGGTTCGAGCCCCGCGTTGGGCTCTGTGCTGACTGCCAGCTCGGAGCCTGGAGCCTGTTTCAGTCTGTGACTCCCTCTCTCTCTGACCCTCCCCTGCTCATGCTGTCTCTCTCTCTCTCTCTCCTAGAAATAAATAAAACATTAAAAAAAAAATGGGCAGAAACAAGTCTCAGGATGAATTCACCAGGTGGAAGTTCATCTGCTTTTCTTTCCTTTTCAGAAAATGGCGGCCCAGGAGGCAGCCCAGGAGGAGGAGATTTCCCATTTTGATTCTGCTTTTCTCTCAGAGCTGTCTGCTCTTCTAGGCACAGATGCGGTTCAGCTCACCAAACAATTGGAAGAAGAAGGGCAGCAGGAACGAGAAAAAATGGAGAAAGGATTTAACTCACACATGCGCAGTGAAACAAAAAGGTTAAAGAGTTTTGTGACATATGACCATTACAGCTCATGGACGCCACAGGAGATGGCAGCAGCCAGGTTTTATTTCACTGGCATAAAATCTGGGATTCAGTGCTTCTGCTGCAGCTTAATCATCTTTGGTACCAGCATCCGGACACTCCCCGTAGAAGATCACAAGAAGCTTCGTCCACGCTCTGAGTTCCTTTTGGGCAAAGATGTTGGCAAATATGATATAAGAGTAAAGAACCGAGAGAACACGCTGAGAGGGGACGAAGCAAGGTACCAGGAAGACAGGGAGAGACTTGAATCCTTCCAGAACTGGCCATTTTACGTGCAAGCAGTATCTGTGAGGGATCTCTCAGCTGCTGGCTTTTTCTTTACAGGTAATTTTGAAGCCATTTTCTGAAGTATTTCTCTGGAGTTTGACGTTTGGGTTCCATGCTTGAATTGCAACATTTGTGAATTTCCCTTCACTTGTTAAATGGGTTGTATGAGGTATAAGGTCTATTTTATTACAATTTAACTCTTGTAACCTGAACACACTGTACAAAACATGAAGTTAATTTGCAAAATGTCTTATAAACTAAGGAAGTTACTTTTCCTTAAATTTGGACCTTAGAGAATACTGTTTGTGTTCCCGAGGCCCTTGTAATAAATCAGGAAGTCAAACTGACCACAGTTTTCTTACCCATTCCCTGGGTCTTCCATGATCTTTAATTCTTTTAATGGCTACAGTATTGAGGTGGGGGGGGATTGTTTTAATTTTAAGGCTAACTTTAATGCATAGAGCGAATTACACTTGAGAAAACTGCACAATGTTTGAATTCTCTTAGCCATGCCATAAGTGTTAGGGCAAGGGTGAATGAGAATTTTGAAAACCGTAATCATTTACTGAGTATGTACTTGACGGTAAACTCAAATTCAGCCCTAATTCTAATCGGACAACTTGCCCCTTCCCCAGCAGCTCACTGTTGAGTTTAGTAGGCTCAAAGGGTTTAAGAAATGGACTTCAGTTTCCACAGAATCTTCATGGCAGGACTAAAACTTACGTCTTCTAAGGGTACCCTCCTTTACGAGTGCTGGTGTTTGGGGGCTTCCCTCCCCTGAGAGCCCTTGGAAAGAATTGGGGCTAGTGTATAAGCAACTGACAGTTGTGTAGTGAGGGCCGTGGCTGAGGGGTGACGTCCCCTCACCACTCACCTAAGGGAGCAGCGCTGTGGGCATACATTCAGCCTGCAGCAGGTGTGGACAGACAGACCTGCTGGGGTGCCTCTCTCTCACGCACTGAGCGGTCAGCCCTGGAGACATGCCTTCTTCACTGTCCCCTGGAGCCATTGATGGGCAACCTAAATGTGTCCCTCACATGCAGGCAAACGGGACACTGTGCAGTGTTTTTCCTGTGGCGGATGTTTAGGAGACTGGGAAGAAGGAGATGATCCTTGGAAGGAACATGCCAAATGGTTCCCCAAGTAAGTAGAAAAATACATTTTTCTTGTCATTATCTTTTTTTTCTTTTTTTTAAGACGAAAGACAAGTCATCTTCAGTTTTGATATTTTCCTATCCAGTATTGGAACACTTCAGAATTTATTCAAGAAGGGCTTGATTACTTTGTGAAAAATTCATTTTAAATGAATTGTATCATTTAAAACCCTTTAGGGGTGCTAGGATGGCTCAGTCAGTTGAGCGGCCAACTCTTGATTTCAGCTCAGGTTACGATCCTTGGGTTGTGTGTTCGAGCCCCACATTGGGCTCCATACTGAATGTGGAGCCTGCTTAAGATTCTCTCTCTCTCTCTTTCTGTCTCTATTGCTCTGTCTACTCTTCTTCCCTGCTTATACTCTCTCATTAAATAAAAAATAAAATAAAATCACTTCTTATTTATTTATTTTTTGAGAGAGACATGCATGCTTATGCATGTGAGCAGGGGAGGGGTAGAGAGAGTAAGAGAGAAATCCCCAAAATTCTGTGCTGACAGCGCAGAGCCTGTCACAGCATTCAAGTCACCAACCATCAGATCATGACCTGAGCTGAAACCAAGAACTGGACACTTAACTGACTAGCCTCCCAAGCTCTCTATTATAAATTTTTTCTAAATGTTTATTAATTTCCTTAAATTATTTTTAATGTTTTTTTTAATTAATTTCTGAGAGGGGGAGACAACATGATTAGGGGAGGGTCAGAGAGAAAGGGAGACATAGAATCTGAAACAGGCTCCAGGCTCTGAGCTAGCTGTCAGCACAGAGCCTGATGTGGGGCTTGAATCCGCAAGCCACGAGATCATGACCCGAGCTGAAGTCAGACGCTCAACTGACTGAGCCACATGGGTGCCCCTGTTGATTCATTTCTTGAGAGACAGAGATAGAGTGTGAGCAGGGGAGGTCCAGAGAGAGAGGAAGACAGAGAATCCAAAGCAGGCTCCCGGCTCTGAGATGTCAGCATAGACCCCCACTAGTGGCTCAAACTCATGAACCAAGAGATCATGACCTGAGATGAAGTGGGTCGCTTAACCAACTGAGCCACCCAGGCGCCCCCTAAGCACTCTATTATAAAATCATTTCTTCCATGTTTTATCACATCAGAGTCCTATCTGTTTTGCAAGGTAGTTTCAGATCTGCCTTAATTAATAAAGAATAATTTTCATAGGGATGATGTAAAATGGTGTATAAAGGAAGTTGGAAAGTGACACAAGTTAAAATCTTTTTTTTTTAATGTTTTATTTATTTCTAGGAGAGAGAGAGAGAGACACCGCGTGAGCAGGGGAGGGTCAGAGAGAGAGGGAGTCACAGACTGAAACAGGCTCCAGGCTCTGAGCAGGCAGTCAGCACAGAGCCCGACACGGGGCTCGAACTCACGAACCGCGAGATCATGACCTAAGCGAAAGTCGGACGCTTAACCGACTAAGCCACCCAGGCGCCCCAACACAAGTTAAAATCTTACTACAAATGGTTACATGTACTGCTGAATATATACCACATGCAAATGTTTTCAAAAACTCAAAAGTTTTGATTACAATGTTGTTCCCTGCTTAGAAAATGAAGTGTGTTTCAGTTCGCTTTAATGCTACATCAAGTAGTATTTTCTACATGACTTTATATCTCCCAAATACAGATATATTGCTCTTACCTTGTTTTAAACTTTGATTTTGGAAAATTTCACACGAAAGTAGAACAGTTGGGGCACCTGGGTGGCTCACTTGGTTAAGCGCCAGATTTTGTTTTTAATGTTTATTTTTATTTTTGAAAGAGATAGAGATGTTTACTAATGTTTTCTAATTACAGATGTGAATTTCTTCAAAGTAAGAAATCCTCAGAGGAAATTGCACAGTACATTCAAAGCTACAAGGGATTTGTTGGTGTCACGGTAATTTATAACAGCAAATACTTTCTTAAGTTGGTTTTTGATTACCTAATAATTTGTGAATTGGAAGGGGTGTGGCATTCTTTTCTTTCTTTCTCTCTCTTTTTTTTTTTTTTTTTGTCATGGGCTCCATTTGTTTCTTCTTCCCTTTTATTATCCCTACCTCTCTTCTGGCCTAGAGCAGAAAATCACATTGCCTTGCTCAACTAGAGCTTGTCTCGTTCTCTCTGTGACTAGAGCCACCTCCGCAGCCCCCTTTGGCTGCTCCCACCTGAATGCCTGCATAAAATATTCAGATCAGGTCCCCTCCCCCCCCCCCAGCCCTGCAGGCCTCAGAGCTGCTGCCTCCCAGCTGGTTACTTTATGCTGTGTTGGCAAGGATTCCTAGTGTCAGGTGACCTCCCGAATTGATTTAAACAAGAAGAGAGTGACGCGGCTAAGAGGACTCAGAAAATGAGAACCCTGAAAAGAATATGGCCTGAAAGGGGGGAGGGGTGTCGGCTCAGAAAGGAATCTGGGTGCGGTTACCAGGATTGGTTGCTTAACCCGTAACCGCCCCCCTGAATCCATTTTCCTCCTTACAGCATATACTGCCTCATTAGACAAAGTACATCTGTGCAGTGTAAATGTAACTCTGATTTTGAATTGGATCTTTGGAAAACATGACCGTGAGAAGTTTCCCTGTGCTATAGATAAACACTCACAGGCGGGTTGTTTTTTGTTTTGGGTTTTTGTTGTTGTTGTTTTGCACTGCATTCAAAAATTTCAACATTCATAGAAGTGGAAACTAGGAATGATTGTCCCGCAATGAAACTCTTTATTTGGGGGGAGGAGGGGAATCTTGCCACTGTAATTCATAGATCAGTGTACTCTCTACGTCAAACAGTTGGTAACTTGAATTTTTATTTTCTTCAGGGAGAACATTTTGTGAATTCCTGGGTCAAGAGAGAGTTACCTATGGTGTCACGTAAAGACCCAGGCATATTCCAAAGGCTTTGCTTATTTCTTCTTTTGCTTTTTTCATCTTTTTTTTTTTTTTCATTTTCCTCATGTTACAGTGTCATAGTCATTTATTCTTAGAAAATGTTTTAATGTTTATTTTTGAGAGAGAGAGACAGAGCATGAATTGGGGAGAGGCAGAGGCAGAGAGAGAGAGAGAGAGACAGACAGACAGACAGACAGAATCAGAAGTAGGCTCCAGGCTCTCAGGTGTCAGCACAGAGCCTGATGCAGGGCTTCGAACTCATGAACCATGAGATGATGACCTGAGCTGAAGTCAGACACTTAACCTACTGAGCCACCCAGGCACCATTATAGTGTCATAATCATTAACCACCCCCCCCCCCAAAAAAAACCCCTATTTTCATAAGAGATTTCTGGTCTTCTGGAGTGACATAGTTTTTATTTTTTTATATTTATTTATTTAAAAAAATATTTTTATTTATTTCTAGGAGAGAGAGAGAGACAGCGTGAGCAGGGGAGGGTCAGAGAGAGAGGGAGTTACAGACTGAAACAGGCTCCAGGCTCTGAGCTGGCAGTCAGCACAGAGCCCAACGCGGGGCTCGAACCCACGAGCCGCGAGATCATGACCTAAGCGAAAGTCGGATGCTTAACCGACTAAGCCACCCAGGCGCCCCAATTTTTTTATATTTATTTTTGAGAGAGAGTGCAAGCAGGGAATGGAGGGGCAGAGAGAGAGGGAGACACAGAATCAGAAGCAGGCTCCACACTGTCAGCACAGAGCCGATTGAGCCACCCAGCCACCCCTGGAGTGACTTTTTTTTTTTTTTTTCATAAATGAGCATATGACAGGGTCACTTAGAAAAATCAAAATTTTCTGGATAAAATACTTGTGACTATGTTCCTAAATGGATCAGTGTTAAGAAATTAGGTGTGAGATAATAGAAAATACATAAATTCCCCTGATTCCTGGCACCTAGCTCCTAAAACACTTAAAAATCCCTAAGTGACCAGGGGCAACTGGGTAGCTCAGTTGGTTAATTTGTCTGACTTCAGTTCAGGTCATGATCTCTCCATCTGTAAATTCGAGTCCTGCCTTAGGCTCTATGCTGACAGCTCAGAGCCTCAAGCCTGCTTCTCTCTCTCTTTCAAAAATAAATAAACATAACAAAAAAAATCCTAAGTGATCAGAGCTCTAAGAGGAACTTTTGTTCTAATGAGATGGGTGGCTCTTGGATGCTCTGGGTGGGGTCCCAGATGGGAGCTGGTCACTAGAAAGGCCAAACCACGTTTAGAAGCTTGGAATTTTCAGTCCCACTGCCCCCGCTCCCCCCATTCTTCAGAGAGAGGAGGGGGCTGAAAGTGGAGGTAATGACCAATCAGGCCTACATGAGGAAGCCTCCTTAAATATCCTGATAGTACACTGTTGAGAGAGCTTTCACGTGAGAGAACATACCCCCCAGTGGGAGGCGGCCACACCCCAGCTCCCATGGGACAGCAGCTTCTGTACCGAAGATTCCCCCCCCCCCCACATACACACTCGCTCTATGTATCTCTTCATCTGACTGTTCTTCTGTATCCTTTATCATACCCTTTAAGAAAGTGGTAAGTAAGTGTTTCCCTGAGTTCTCTGACCCACTCTAGCAAATGAAGTGGGGTAGGGGCAGTCTTGGGGGGCTGAGTCATTAACCTGTGAGATCTGACACTGTCTCTGGGTTATGTTAGATCTGGGTAAATTGTAGGACACCTAGCTGCTGTCAGAATTGCTTCAGGGGCAGGGTTAAGACCCTCAGACATCTGGTGTCAGAAGGGTTGTGAGTGTGGTAGTTGTGGGAGAGTAATGGAGACACAGGAGAAGATGGGTTTTTCCAAAAGACTAAGTAATATTCAGATTAAAAATGAAGTTAATAGCAGGATCCTGTGTTTATAGGTAGAACACAGAAGCAAGATTTCATCTTAAATGCGCAGAACCACGTTAACATAGGTCAGTTTTCAAGTCCTCACAGGCTGCAGAAAGAACACATGAGTGCAGCCCCGGGCCCCGCCCACGGTGGGAAGTCCAGGGGAGAGTACCTCCTAGAGTGGATACCCCAAAGGGCAAAACCTGAATCTGCCTGCTCTTAAGGGAGATAACAAGGAAAACTTGATTTTCTCAAATCTTGATGCTAAGCTGGGGAGAAGGGGAAACTCAGCATTGTCTTGTTTTGTTTTGATGCTAGATGATGAGGGAGCCTGGGGCAGGCTGAGGGCAAAAGACAGACTGACACACACGCCGCCCCCAGGTGGGAGATGTGTGATATTCCTCAGACAGTCCTGGCTTCCCAACAAAGGAAAGGGGTTTAAGTGCTTGCCATGTTGATGTGGGAAACTAAGGCAAATGAAAAACTGAATTCCCCGACTGCCTGCAGCCCAATGACAAGTCCTTGAAACAGGCAGAGGGACCTCCCTCTAGGAGCTCAGTGGCCTGATGATGACACTTTGCTGGGAGCAAAAGTGGATCTAAGCTTATCATCATCCCAGTCTCGAGGACCCTGTAAGTCTCTGTCTTCTATCTCAACTGCCCCAAGATATACGCTAGCAGTCATACTCCAACCTTACTGGCCCCCCGATAGGCATCTGAAGGGTTTCCTGACTGAGGTTTTATTAAATGTTAATAATTGGCATTTCTCTAGCAACATCTAGCCCCTCAAGGTCCTGGAAAACCTTCCTTCCAAAATACCTTAGAGACCTACTCTCTGACCCCCCACTCCCAACCTGAGGGTAAAACAGTTACCTCTCACAACCCCATGCAGCTAGCTCTTCCTGCCCATGGGTCCTGTCCCCATGCTTTAATAAAATCACCTTTTTTTAAAAAAAATATTTTTATTTATTTCTAGGGGAGAGAGAGAGACAGCATGAGCAGGGGAGGGTCAGAGAGAGAGGGAGACACAGACTCCGTAAACAGGCTCCAGGCTCTGAGCTGGCAGTCAGCACAGAGCCCGATGCAGGGCTCGAACCCACAAACCGCGAGATCATGACCTAAGCGAAAGTCGGACGTTTAACCGACTAAGCCACCCAGGCGCCCCAATAAAATCACCATTTTGCACCAAAGATGTCTTCACGAAGTCTTTCTCGGCCATCAATTCCGGTCTACCCACCATCACTCCAAAACTTCATCGGTAGATAATGAAGAGATCATTTTGAAATGTTTTATTATAGAAAAATACCAACGTACACAGAAATAAGACCGTAGTATCTAGCCACCACAGATCTACCAGTGCTTCAGCACTCTGACATGTGGTTAGTCTTGCTTCATCATAGCTTTTCCATCTTTTCCAGCCCCTGCTCCAATTACAATGCAGCTAAACACAATGTGTCCATCTTCCATCCGTAGATACAAAGGGGTAATTGGAACACTGATACCTGAAATAGCAAAGCTTAGTGATCTCACCGTACGCTTTTTTCCCCCCAAGCTTATTGCAATGACAGCATCTTTGCTAATGAAGGGCTACGACTGGATTCCTTTAAGAACTGGCCCCATGCATTCCCGGCAGGAGTTGCAGCTCTGGCCAGAGCAGGTTTCCTCTATACGGGTGAGTCACTAGTTTCCGTCAAGCTCTGGTCTTACTCTTTCTTGCACCCACTTAAACTCCGCTTACACTTTATGGTCCTGGACTTGTGTTTATCTAGGCTCCACAATCTCTGCTTTTCTTTTTTAAAATGTTCATTATTTTGAGAAAGAGAGAGAGATTGAGAGACAGCAAGCTTGCAGGAGAGGGGCAGAGAGAGAGGGAGAGAGAGAGTCCCAAACAGGCTCTGCGCTGTCACCACAGAGCCCGATAGGCTCAAAACATGAACCATGAGATTATGACCTGAGGTGAAACCAAAAGTCAGATGCTTAACTGATTGAGCCACCCAGGCCCACTGGTGCCCCTACTATGTCTTTTACTTTCTACACATTACTCTCCGACCCCCGCCCCTTCCCAACCTCAGCATCCCTGGAAACTTTCACATAACCTTTCTACTTCCCTTCCACTTCTATCTCTGTAACCTGAGTTTAGTAGTCACGTGGCCATACCTAGCTTTAAGAGGAGCTAGGACATTGATTCTTTTTCTTGGGTGGCAATATGACTAGCAAAAAATGGGGTTTCTGTTACTGTGGAAGAAAGAGAGATACTGGGAATGTGGATAGCAGCCTTTGCCACACTCTCTTTGAAAGAGAACCTCAGGAAATTCTTTTTTTTTTTTAAACTAAAGTTGATTTTTTTTTTTTTTTTTTAGTAATCGCTACACCCAACATGGGGCTCAAACTCACCACCTGGTGATCAAGAGTCACATGTTCTTCTGACTGAGCCAATCAGCACTCAAGGAAATTCTCCTTTATGATCACTAAGCGTGTAGCATATCCTGTCAGTTCATAATGTTCTCTGTTTAGTTGCTGGTCCTCAGGCAGCTCCCCTCTGTGATCCAAAGAGTGGGTTGGTTCTCCTCAGCAAAATATCTAAGTAAGTAAGGTGATCAGAGAAAAGATAGTGTGCCCTTCTTAGGTATCTTGCTGACAGCCATTTTTTTTTTTTTTTTAAAGTGACCTCTAGGCCCAACATGGGCCTTGAACTCACAACATGAGGTGCAGGCTGTACCAACTGAACCAGCCAGGGGCCCCTTGCTGGCCTTCTTTAGACCGAACACACACATGGAATGATAGCAGAGGTCCATACAGATCTTGTGCTGAGCAGTCAAGTAGGTATCACGAATATCACAGGGCAGTGCGGCATACGGAATGCTATGGTCACTTTAGCAGACCTATTCCCTTGGTACAAAAAAATATTTTTTTTAATATTGCACATTTAAAAACTTACTTACTTTTGAGAGAGAGCTTGCAAGGGATGAGCAGAGACTGGAGGAGACACAGAATCTGAACCAGGCTCCAGGCTCCAAGCTGTCAGTGCTGAGCCTGACGTGGGGCTTGAACTCGGGAGCTGTGAGGTCATGACCTGAGTCGAAGTCAGACACTCAACTGACTGAGCCACCCAAGTGCCTGGTGCAAAATATCTTAATGCCTCATGATCTTAAGCATCTAAAAAGACGTACAACTCTCTCCATACTCTATTCTTTCTCTCTCCAGCCTTAAGGATCCTCTGTCCAGTGTCCTCACCCTCCTCTTTTTCAAACCTCCAACTCTCCCCACAAATCCGAGTCATCTGACCCAGGATTTTGCAATTTCTAAGCCCTAGTATTTTTGTCCAGACACAAAGGGAGGTTTTCTTCTGCCCTAGTTGGCAGTGCCTACAGGTGTCTAGGAGGGGAAGGAAGTTGATGGATGCTCCATTTCTAGCTCAGTCATTTGGGGGATCCTAATGCTAATTTCCTTTCAGAGAAAGAGTTTCATCAGGAGACTTGAGGCTCCTTGCAGTGGAATAAACCAGGGAATCATGTAGTAAAAGACACTTGATTCTTCATGAATTTACTTATATATGGGCTGCTACATTTCCTCAAAGATTTTTCCCCCTGAGCTCCAAATGCATTCTTGCTGACTTATTCCCTAAACAAATACTTACTGAACGTTTAACAATAAGTGCGAGGTATTCTTCTAGGCCAGTGAGAGTCATGAGTGAGCAAAACAGACAAAAATCTCTTGCTTCAGGGAGGTATAATTCCACACTCTGATCTGCACATCTCTCTCCATAGAAGGAGGATGGGACAGGGGGAGGGGCTTCATCCAGGTGCCTGGTGCCTTAGGAGCATTTCCTTCATTAGCTCATTACTCTGTTGGTGAAGAGAAGTGTCCTACAGAGAATATCACCTTGCTGGTAACCCAAACTGTGACTCTGTCGCAGAATCCAGTTGGAAATGCAAAGAGGGTTTTGCTAATAAAGGCTTTGTGATTATTACCTGTGACACTTGAGAAATACACATGCAAGAGGATGGAATTCCTCACTTGTAGGTGTGAAGGACATCGTCCAGTGTTTCTTCTGCGGAGGGTGTGTGGAGAGCTGGAAGGAAGGCGATGACCCATTAGAAGATCACGCCAGATATTTTCCCAAGTGAGTGGAATGAATGTTTAATGTCTGGAAATTTGGATGCACTTTAATACTTCTCCTTGCCCTGCCCCCCATCTTATTTTCCGATTTAGTCTTCATCTCTTGGATTCATATTGTGTAACATGCGTGTTTATGCCTTTCTTCCCTTTGCTCACACAGCACCCTTCACATGTAGAATTCCTCGCTATATAACATGTAGTTCTGGTTAGAGCACGATCTTTTACCTTACCTATTTATATTATCATGGCCATATAATTAAGACTTACTTTCCCTCCCTGTACAACTTTTAATTTTTGTAGGAAGTGATAACTTTGTTTTGCTTAATTTTTGCTATTTTGAAGTGAGATTCATACATTAGCCATTCTGTTTTAATTTTTTTTTAATGTTTACTTATTTTTGAGAGAGAGAGAGCGAGAGAGCATGCAAGCAGAGGAGGGGCAGAGAAAGAGGAAGGCACGGAATCCAAAGCAGGCTCCAGGCTCTAGGCTCTGAGCTGTCAGCACAGACACCCAACGCTGGGCTCAAAGGCATGAACGGCAAGATCATGACCTGAGGCGAAGTCGATGCCCAACCGACTGAGCCACCCAGGCGCCCCCTTCAAAAAATTTTTTTAAAAATACATTAACCATTTTAAAATGCACAATCCAGGGGCGACTGGGTGGGTCGGTCATCTAAGCATCTGACTTCAGCTCAGGTCATGATCTCACAGTTCGTGGGTTTGAGCCCCACGTCAGTCTCTGTGCTGACCGCTAGCTAGAGCCTGGAGCCAGTTTCAGATTCTGTGCCTCCCTCTCTTTCTGACCCTCCCCTGCTCACACTGTCTCTCTCTCTCAAAAATAAATAAAACATTTTTAAAAATAAAATAAAATGCACAATCCAGTGGCATTTTGTACATTTACAATGTTATGCAACCATCCTATCTACTTCTAAAACATTTTCATTACCACAAAGAAAACTCTGTACCAGTAAGCAGTCACTCCCCCACTGCCCACCCTAACTTTTTAGTGCTGCCAATAGGCTTCATGCCTCTATAGTTTTACCTAGCCTGTGTATTTCATATAAATGGATGCATGAAATACAACCTTTTATATCTGGCTTCTTTCACTTAGCATAATGGTTTGAGGTTTAGCCAATTTGTAGCACGTATCATTACTTCATTCTTTGTAGCTGAACAGCTTTGTAGCTGTCAGCACGGCCTGATGTGGGGCTTGAACTCATAAACCGTGAGATCATGACCTGAGCCTAAGTCGCATGTTCAACCAACTGAGCCACCCAGGCACCTCCCTTTTAAAACATTAAAGAGCTATAGCCATTTGCTTAGTTGTTTGATGTAGTTAGCTCATCTTCAAATTGTCTGAAATTTTTAAGCCTCCAATCCTTCATTTGGACCTACAAATATATCCCATCATTTTCATTTTCTTGAGAGGGTCTGTCCTGAGGTATTCTGACCTGCTCCAGTATGAACTACTTGTCCTGTAGGTTCCTGGGATCCTGGGAGCTTCCCTCACATTCGTCCTAAGTCTCATGTCCTCCCTCCTGTGTTCCAGCTCCTGTTTGCTGGACCGGACACCATCCTCTTGGTTCATTTACTCACTTCGGTAGAACATTCCTCCACAATTCCCGGGGAAAGGCGACATAAAAGACGGATATCGTCCAGGAGCATATGCATATACTTATACTCCAGCCCCCACATTTGTGCTTGGTAGTTTAGCTAGGTTTAGTGTTCTAGGTTGGAATTCCTTCTCTTTCTGAATTGTAGAGGCATTGCTGCATTTTCTAATCGCTTTCAGTGTTGCTGTTGAAAAGTTCCACGCCTAGGAGGGCACTTGTGGGGATGAGCACTGCGTGTTATATGGAAACCAACTTGACAATAAACTATCAAAAAAAAAAAAAAAAAGAAAAGTTCCATGTCTTTCTAATTCTTAGTCCTGTGATTGCAAACTATGCTACCCTGCTCTGGAGGCTTTTAGAATTTTCCCCTTGTTTCCAGTGTTCTAAAATTTGATGAAGAAATGAGGACATGCCTATTTCTTTAATATTTGTTTTCTGTGCATCTTTTTAAAAAAATGTATTTTAGAGAAATAGAGTGCAAGAGGGAGAGTAGGGGAGGGAGAGAGAAAGAGAGAGAATTCCAAGCAGGCTCCACACTTAGCACAGAGCCTGATTCAGGGCTTGATCTCAGGATCCTTGGATCATGACCTGAGCTGAAACCTAGAATTGCTCAACTGACTGAGCCACTCAGGTACCTGCAAGAAGAAATAGGTTCTTTTCACTTGGTAATTAGTAAGAGGTTTTCCAGAAATACATATTCATACATACAGATCTTCAAATACTTCCATCTAATTCTAAGATTCTAAAGAGGATACTGCATTGAAGGTCTTTTGACAGGAGTAGTTTTTTTTTTCCCCTTTATTATTTGGATTTAGTATCTAGTAAATTGCTGAGAACAGTAAGGACATTCTTAATTCTTGGAAGGGTAAGGGAGAATGCAGCCTGATATAATTTACAATATTTCCTAGAATCTATCAACTTCCTTTTCCTCTTCTGCCTCTTTTCTAAAAAATTATAGTTGACATATAATGTTACATTGATTTCAGGTGTACAACATAGTGATTGAACATGTTATGCGATGCTCCTCACAATGCAGCTGGCTTCACTTTAATTGCAGTACACCTGGCACACAATGTTAGGAGTTTTGGGTGTACAACATGGAGATGTGACAGTTCTGTACCTGACGCTATACTCACTACAAGTGTAGCTGTCCTCTGCTACCATCTGCCTTTTAAAAATTTTTTTATTTTTATTTTTTCAATGTTTATTTTTGAGAGAGACAGAGAGCAAGCAAGGAGGGGGAGAGAGAGAGGGAGACTGAGAACCTGAAGCAGGACCCAGTCTCTGAGCTGTTAGCACAGAGCCTGATGCAGCCTTGTGCACACTCACAGGCTGTGAAATTGTACCCTGAGCCGAAGTCAGACGCTTAACCAACTGACCCACCTGGGAGCCCCTTAAATACATTTTAAAAGGCGGGGAAAATGTATTTTTTATTTAACCACTTAGTTAACCATCCAAAGCACTCTTCATTCCTCGGGGTAGAACCAAGTGTCCATCTCTTACCATTTTGTTTTAACTGAAGAACTTTCTATAACAGTTCTTACAGGGCTGGTCTGCTGGCTACCAAGTGTATCGGCTTTGTTTGTATGAAAGTCTTTTTCTTGCCTTCCTTCAGAATCTTTTCCCTATGGTTTTGTCAGTATAGCAGCCTTGGACAGAAACATTAAAAGTCCTACTTGCCGATGGGGTGCCTGGGGGACTCAAGCTGATTGAGCATCTGACCTTGGCTCTGGTCATGCTCTTCCAGTTAGTGGGTTTGAGCCCTTCGTTGGGCTCTGCGCTGTCAGCACAGAGCCTGCTTCGGGGCCTCTGTCCCCACATCTCTCTGCCCCTCCCTAGCTTACACTCTCTCTCTCAAAAATAGAGTTTTAAGAAGTCCTACTTGCCATTTACCTGCAACTATCCTTTTATTCCTGGACTCCTTTCTAAGCCATGTAGGAAAATAAAAATGTATTATCCTTTCTTGTGATTCTGCAGCATGAAAATGAGCCTGTGACAGTTGGTTGTTCCTAGGTAGCTCATTTATTTACTCCCTTTTTTAAGTTTTCATGTATCCAAGTTAATCACCGTGGAACTCTTTAGAAATTTCCCCCTTGGTTCTTCAGGCAGACATCATACCTGAGTTTAGAGGATACTTACATCCAGTTTGATGATGTCTGGCATATAGTTTTGGTTTGTTTCAAATTTTTATTTAAATTCTAAATTCTAGTCAGTTAACATACGGGGTAATAATGGTTTCAGGAGTAGAATTCAGTGATTCATCATTACACACACCACCCAGTGCTCATCATAACGAGTGCCTTCCTTAATATCCAACATCCATTTGGCTGATCACTCTATCCACCGCCCCTCCAGCAACCCTCAGATTGTTCTCTGTCATTAAGAGTCTCCTATGGTTTGCTTTCCTCTTTTTTTTTTCTCCCCATGTTCATCTTTTTGTTTCTTAAATTCCACATATTTCCACATATGTGTGAAATATATGGTATTTGTCTTTTTCTGACTTATTTCATTTGGCATAATACATTGTAGCTCCATCCATGTCACTGCAAATGGCAAGATTTCATTCTTTTTGATGGCTGAGTAACATTTCATCTTATTTATCCATTCATCTGGCTGAATAACATTTCATCTTCTTTATCCATTCATCAGCTGATGGACATTTGGGCTCTTTCCATAGTTTGGTTACCGTTGATAGTGCTGCTATAAACATTGGGGTTCATGTGTCTCTTCGAATCTGTATTTTTGTATCTTTGGGGTAAATACCTAGTAGTGCAAATGGTTTTTTTTTTTAATGTTTTTTTTTTTTTAATTTCTTTCTAGGAGAGAGAGAGAGAGAGACACAGAGTGAGCAGGGG